AGTTACCAAAGGGAAAGGGACTAGGGAGGATGGGTGGGAAGGGAGGGATAAGGGCATGATAAAGAAAGGGGGCATTACAATTAGCATGTATAATGTGGGGGTGGGGGTACGGGGCAGGTTATACAACACAGAGAAGACAAGTAGTGATTTTACAGCATCTTACTACACTGATGGACAGTGACTGTGCAAGGGGTACATGGGGGGGGACTTGGTGAAGCGGGGAGCCTAGTAAACATAATGTTCTTCATGTAATTATAGATTAATGATACCAAAAAAAATCATCATATAATACCTAAAAAAAAAAGTAGTTGGAGTGGACATCTTTTCTTGTTCCTGATCTTAGAGGAAAAGCTGTCAGCTTTTCACCATTGAGTGTGATGTTAGCTGTGGGTTTGTCATATATGACCTTTATTATGTTGAGCTCCATTCTCTCTAAACCCATTTTGTTGAGAGTCTTTACCATGAATGGATGTTAAATTTTGTCAAATGCTTTTTTAGCATCAGGTACATTGTTAAATAATGATAGAAATAATCTTCTTAAACCAATAGTCCATTAATTCAATTTTTTAGGTTTATTTATTTATTTATTTATTTATTTTGGTATCATTAATATAAAATCACATGGGCAATATTGTAGTTACTAGATTCCCCCCATTGACAACTCCCCACCACATACCCATTGCCCATTGATTCAATATTTATTGAACATCTGCTAGATCTTGGGCACTAAGCTAAGTCTAGGAACAGTAAGCAAACATATTTCTATTAAAGAGCTCACAGTCTAAGAGGTATGACAAGCAGTGGTCAATTAAAATGAGGCATGATGAGTATGCTGATGGAGCTTACCATAGGGTTCTGTAGAAACAAAGAGGTAAAACACTGAACCTTAACAGAATCAAGTGGCTTTCTGGATGTGGTGGCCACTGAGTTAAGTTAAAGTTGAGAAGGTGAGGGGGTGTAAGACATTCTGTGCCAAGGCTGAGTGACCTGAAAGAACATAAATATAGTGGGCAGATGATAGATGAATTGGAAATAAAAGGGTAAGTTTCTTCTGACTCTTGTTTCTGAAAAGATGCCAAGAGAGAGAGTGTCGGAATGTATGAGATAGTGCTGTGCCTCAACTGAGAGAGGGCAGTAGCATAGTGATGTTCATATGCTGGAGCAAAGAGTTAGTCAGACAAATGGAGATTTGAAGATTCAGAAGCAAAAAGTGAGAACTGGTAACAAACCTCTCCTGTGTGCTCCATGCATTGCATTGAATGCTCTACAGCAATGTATGTTAATTATTGGCATCTCTGACTCAACTAAACTCCAAGTTAGTCACCAAGTCATAATTGGTCTTTCTATTTCCAGGCCCTGTTACACATAGCAGACATTCAGTAATTGTTAAGTAGTTGAGAGGTGAGAGTAGAGACCTTAATCCTGGATAGGAAGAAAATTATCATTTCCACAGATAAGACGGGTATCAAGTAAGAAAAAAAAGGCTGAATATAAAAGTAAAATATTGTGTGTGCAAAATATGTCTTTTTTTTCTTCTTAACTAAATATTTTTAAATTTTGATATCATACAATCACATGAGCAACATTTTGGTTACTAGATTCCCCTCATTATCAAGTCCCCACCACATACCCCATTACAGTCACTGTTCATTAGTGTAGTAACATGCTATAGAGTCACTACTTGCCTTCTCTGTACTATACTGCCTCCCCCATGCCCCACCCTATGTTACGTGTGCTAATCATAATGCCCCTTACTCCCCTTATCCCTCCATTCCCACCCACCCTCCCTAGTCCCTTTCCCTTTGGTAATTGTTAGTCACTTCTTGGGTTCTGTGAGTCTGCTGCTATTTTGTTCCTTCAGTTTGTGCTTTGTTCTTATACTCCACAGATGAGTGAAATCATTTGGTACTTGTCTTTCTCTACCTGGCTTATTTCACTGAGTGTAATACCCTCTAGCGACATCCGTGTTGTTGCAAATGGCAGGGTTTGTTTTCTTCTTATGGCTGAAAAATATTCCATAGTGTATATGTACCACATCTTCTTTATCCATTCATCTACTGATGGACACCTAGGTTGCTTCCATTTCTTGGCTGTTGTAAATAGTACTGTGATAAACATAGGGGTGCATATGTCTTTTTCAAACTGGGCTCCTGAATTCTTCAGGTAAGTTCCTAGAAGTGGAATTCCTGGGTCAAATGGTATTTCTAGTTTGAGTTTTTTGAGGAACCTCCATACTGCTTTCCACAATAGTTGAACTAATTTACATTCCCACCAGCAGTGTAAGTGGGTTCCCCTTTCTCCACATCCTTGCCTACATTTGTTGTTGTTTGTCTTTTGGATTTTGGCCATCCTAACTGGCATAAAGTAGTATCTCATTATAGTTTTAATTTGCATTTCTCTGATGATTAGCGATGTGGAGCATCTTTTCATGTGCCTGTTGGCCATCTGAATTTCTTTGGAGAACTGTCTGTTCAGATCCTCTGCCTATTTTTAATTGGATTATTTGCTTTTTGTTTGTTGAGGTATGTGAGCTCTTTATATATTTTGGATGTCAGCCCCTTATCAGATATGTCATTTATGAATATAGTCTCCCATACTGTAGGATGCCTTTTTTTCTACTGCTGGTGTCCTTTGCTGTGCAGAAGCATACTAGTTTGATATAGTCCCACTTGTTCATTTTTGCTTTTGCTGCCCTTGCCTGGGGAGGTATTTTCATGAAAAAGTTGCTCATGTTTATATTCAAGGGAGTTTTGCTTGTGTTTTCTTCTAAGAGTTTTACAGTTTCATGACTTACATTTAGGTGTTTGATCCATTTCGAGTTTACTTTTGTGTATGGAGTTAGACAGTAATCCAGTCTCATTCTCTTACATGTAGCTGTCCAGTTTTGCCAACACCAGCTGTTGAAAAGGCTGTCATTTCCCCATTGTATATCCATGGCTCCTTTATTGTGTATCAATTGACCATATATGTTTGGGTTAATATCTGGACTCTCTATTCTGTTCCACTGGTCTATAGGTCGGTTCTTGTGCCAGTACCAAAATATGTGTTTTTTGTGGGTGGACAGAGAGTGAGGAGCAGGAAGTTAAGAAGTTTCTTGCTTTGACAACATCTTTCTGAGAAACAGAGTCTTTACGAGTTGTATTCAGCAGCCTAGGAAATGAGTAGATTAAACAAACTTTTCATTGTTCCAGCTATTTTGATTAATAGGTCTATCTAAATTTTTAGTAACAAAAAGTGGCTTACAAAAAAGTTTCTATTAACATAAAAAGTATTTTTAGTGTAATTTGTATTTTTTCAAAGTAATAGCCATATTATAAAACATTCATGGAAGTTGACTCATCTTTATATTCTACACATTTGTGAGATTTATTATATAAAAGAAACTTCATTAAATTATAGTAAGATCAGTGAGATGTTTTCAGAGGATTATTAATCAAAAAGTTTGCTGAGATTTTAATGACCTTGTATTTAATTTCATCAGGATTTCAAAAGACAATTTTAAAAAAACACCACTCCTTCTCAAGTCTAAGTTAAAATTTTTAGAGAAAATCTTATGTGATGAAAGTCTGTTTTCATGTTTTTTAAAAAAACACTTTTATTGAAGTAAAATGGGCATATAATAAACCACATATTTAAAGTATACACTTCATAAATTTTCACACATGTAGAAAGTGGTGAAATTGGCCATCAACCTTAATCACGATACCCATCACCTCCAAACATTTCCTTGTGCCCCTTTGTAATATCGCCTGCCTCTCTCTGCCCTCTTCCAATCCCCAGAAAACCAATGATCTGTTTTCTTTCCTTTAGATTAGTTTGTACTTTCTAGAATTAGAAACTTTTTTTTAATAGGGAACATAATAATTAAGTTATATCTCTGATTACATGCAATATTTTTAAGAACTTAAGGATGGAGAAACTAGTCATTTTATAGCCAAAGAAGCCAGAATGTAGATTTAATTAGAAACCACATAGGCGTGACTGCCTAAGTACAGTGTGATTCATGAAACACTTTCTCTTCCCTCCCTTTCCCCCAGTTTCTAAAAAGGGAGGAAAATTGTAGGGATGAATGGAAAACTTGTGAAGTTGCCATTAATAAATTTTTACATGTTAATATATGGTTAGCACAACAAAACTAAAAATAATTTTAAGGCTTTGGGCCAGATTTATTATGCAATCTACGTACGTAGATTACTTAAACCGGAAATTCAGTGTTTTAAAAAGTCAAGCCAGTATTTGTAAATGTGTAATGGAAAAATGTGAAATAAACTTTTTAAAGCTCTCTAGTCTGGGAATTTATAACAAAACCATTATTCACTAAAAATCTGCGTGTGTGTGTATTTTCTCCAAATAAGAAAACTATTAAATCTTAAAAATATAATTTGAATTTCCACTTAACTGCAAGCTAATACTTAATAAAATCAAAACTACCAAACAGGAAAACCAAAAACATTTATGAAAAAGATAATTTTTCTTTTTTGGATTTTAATCTGTACATTTAGTAATGTCTGCACTGATTTGAGGCTGATAAATTATACTGTATTACCATTTATGAAGTATTAGAATAGAAATAAAATTGCATCAGCAGTATTGCAAAAGCAAAAGAATAAATGACTGCTTGTAGAAGAACTGCGTAGATCTCATTTGTGTTGTCTTTTGGTTCATGGATTTCTTAAATATTTAGAAGGTACAATATGACCTGAAAATATGGCTCTGCAAATGTTATTTTTGCATATTGTGAAGCATAAAAGAATTAGGTGGTAATTTAGAAAGACCATAATATTTCTTTTTCTATAATTATTATTCTATGTAAATTGTCCTTCATTATCATTCTAGTTAAATATCAAAATATTTTAATGGTTAATATCTTATTATACTAGATAATTAAACAGAATGCTTTCAACAGATATGCCTTACTACCAGGTCTTGTATTTTAAAGTGTACAAAGTATCTTTATACCTATTCTCTTGGGCTGAATATTCATTTATTTTATCTTAAAGGTTTAATGAAGAGGCTAGAGGAGGAGATAAAGTTTAATTCATATATGGTAACTGAAAAATTTCCCAAAGAATTAGAAAACAAGAAAAAAGAATTGCATTTTTTACAAAAAGTGGTTTCAGATTTTGCTATGGGCCATTCTGATCTTCTTGAACTTGAATCTAAAGTAAGTGACAATTATCTTCTTTTTATAGCCCCCAATTTTATCTCATTCCCAGTCCTGTGAAAATTATGTGAACTATGTTCTATGATGCCCTACTCTTGACTTTTGACTTAACCTGTGCTAAGAGTTATGGCTCTTAAGAGGAGTTCTTCTTTTTAAGGAATTATAACATTTAATGCTGTTACTTAATCCACATGATCTTATAAAAACTTAATCAAATGATTAGGAAAATAAGTAACTTGGATATATAAATTAATGCATATGGTTGATTCATAGGTTTATGTAGTCATATCATTTAGCTTATAAATTTTCAAATATTTTATGTATCATTAATTCTTATTTCTAAAATAATGTTACAGCAATTTTATATTTAAAGGTAATTTTTTATTATTGTGACTGTTTTAGATTTACTAAGCTTTCTTGTAATTCTCATTGAAACCTGATATCATAACATTTTTGTTCCCTAGAAATAAAACACTAAATCAGATGTACATGTACATTTTTAAAACATAATTAAATATCATGAAGGTTGATTAAAAGGGTTTGACTTAATCCTCTTTTAATGTGCTTAATATGTGATTAATGTGCTTAATATGTGATTAACTATTAAATATATCATTCTGACCATTTTATTCTTTTAATTACTTACAGAAATTAGGTATCCAAGTGAGATTTGGATCAAATTTAATGTCATAAAATTAACAGGAAAACTCTAGCCTTTTCAAAGGATAGATATACTGAAAGCCATGTGACTTTTTTATTTGTTGAGGCCTGTGTGCTTCTGTTGGCTTTATTTAGTTTATTTATATTTGAGAAAGGCTTAGATTAACGAGTAGGATAAATGACAGCTATCACAGAATCACAGATCATTAGAACAGGAAGGGTTTTAGATGTCATCCATGTCAGCTCACAGCTGAGTTCATGAATTCCTTGTACTAAATCCCTAGGAATGTTAGTCTGGATTTGTTCTTATCACTTGCAGCAAATTGAAAGTCACAACCTAGGTGAAGGGATAACTTCAGATCTTTAGAAATCTTTTTGATAATAACTTACAAATATTTCAGGTAGAATTCTTTAGGATAATTGATAATTTAGACATGGATGATTAAATCCATATAAGTAATCAAATTGTGTAAATATATTTCATGACCCATGAAATGTAAATTGTTTCTAAAAGCAGTCATAACCCACTTAAAACAAAGTGGAACTGTTCCTTCAGTCAAATCATTGATGATAAGAACTGTAAAATCAAAGCTTGGTTTGGCCAGATGTCTCTTAGTTTGTATAATCATAGGGAGCGTTTTAACTTTTTTTACTTTCATACTCTTTTAGATAAGTGAAATAAACACACAAATCAATCAGCTGATTGAAAAGAAAATGATGAGAAATGAGCCAATTAAAGGCAAACTCTCACTATATAGGCAGCAGGTAAGACCATTCTTTTGGCTCACATATTTAGATCTGTCATCTTATTCATGAACATCTTCATAAATACCACAGGCTATGTTATTGATAGTGTTAAAGTGAGAAGGAAATAAAGAATAAATGTTCCCTATCATTGCTAATCTCCAGATTATAACAAAGAATTTTTGGGAAAGCCACAGAAGACGTCTGTTCAAGTTTGAAATTCAGTATGCCTGGTAATGCTTAGTTCCCTTTGTAAGTGCCAACTGTGGTGATAGAACTATTTGTGTTTATATGTGTGAATGTGAAATTTGATTTTTTTAAAATGAAAGTTTACCTTTAGTGATATAAATAAAAATATAATCTTTAATGAACTGAAAGCAATATGCTTTTTCAGCTTTAAAGTTAGCTTACAAGTGTAGAATAAATTATATTTTAGTGCTAAGGCATTATCATTTTATCCACAGCTATTAGATTGAGTGTATATAAGTTGTTATGTATTTCTAGACAAAAGATTCAAATGAAAGCCTTGGATTGTCTGAAAAGAACCAGGTAGGAGGAGTTTAGTGTAAAGAGCATTCTATAACTTCAGAAAATGCTGACCTACATAACAAAGCATTATTCATGGATACTAGAATTTTTTAAACCCTTTTTATAATGGAACATTTCAACCATTTGCAAAGGTAGAGAAAATAGTTCAGTAAACCCTCATGTGTCCCAAAGCTAGAGCAATTGTGGCCATTCTTGTTTCATCTCTACCCCCAGCTTCAACTGGATTCTTTTGAGGCAAAGCTTAGACTTCATATGATTTCACCTATAAATACTTCAGAATATATCTCTAAAAGGTTTTGAAAAAGCCTAATAATAATATAACATATTTGAAAAATCTAATCCCAAATATTGGCAAATATCCAGTCAATGTTCAGATTTCCTTGATGGTTTCCTTTCCTTCCTTCTTCCCTCCCTCCCTTACTTCTCTTCTCTCCTCTATTTCCTTTCCTTTCTTTGTTTCTCTCTCTCTTTCCCTTTTAGTTGCTTTGTTTTAATTAGGATCCGTACCAGATGCGTACATTACATTTGGTTAGTATGCTTAAGTCTCTTTTAATCTATAGGTTCTCTTTTTTGCTTATTTATTTATTTAATAGTTTTATTGCAATTTGTTTATTGAAAAAACTTATTTATTTATTCTGTAGCATTTTCCATAGTTTGTATTTTACTGATTATGACCCTATAGTGTCCTTTTAACATGTTCCTCTGTTTCCTGGATTTCCCATATATTAGAACTAGAAATCTGAACAGATTCTGGTTTGATAATTTTGGGGGAAGACTACTTTCTAGATGGCATTATGTACTTTCATTTGGAGGAATTGTGTCTGGCTGTTTCCTTTTTTATGATGTTGGCAGCCATTGATTATCATTGCCTATCCATTAATTTCATGAGGGTTTACAAAATGTTAATACTATGATTCCTTCATTTATTAGCTGTACTACTTCTATAAAGAGAAATGTCCTTTCATCAACCATTTGGTTATCCTAAGCTATATATCCCTGTAGGAAAGGTAGGGTACATGCTTGATTATTATCTTTATCAGTTTTCAAAATTAATTGTTTTCCTCCCAACTCATTTTCATCCTCCAGCAGTAAAAGTGATCAATTAGGATTAGTTTTTTTTTCTTGGTTGCTTGTTAATCTAATCTTATTATGAATCATAGATATAATCATATTTGATAAGTTTCAAGCATTTTCCTTAATAATGCTTAAATTGTCCCAATTTTGGCTTTTCAAGTTAACTTCCAAGTCCTTTTAAGATTCTATTTGTCTTTGATAATGCTCTTGCTTTCTGGTATGATTAAGATATCTCCAGGCTCATCTTTTACGTTTCCTACCCTAGACCTGAAGTTAGACTTTTCTCTGAATCTTAATATTTTAGCAGGAAATGATACTTTGAGACCACTATTTGGGTATTAGGACTTCTCATTGCTGCTGGGGTAGCCATTGTTTTAAGGTCTTTTCAGTGGACAAAGCTAGGAATTAGTTTTTCTTTGTCCTGACATGCACCATGAGTTAGTCCTAATTCTAGTTCAGATTGAGGACTACTGTTTTTTTTTTGTCTTTTCTTTTCAATTTTATTAAGGTATCATTGATATACACTCTTATGAAGGCTTCACAAGAAAAACAATCGGGTTATTGCATTCACCCTTATTATCAAGTTCCCTGACATACCCCATTGCAGTCACTGTCATCAGTGTAGTAAGATGCCACAGAATCCCTTTTTGAAGGACTACTGGGTTTTTACTTAACCTCATCAATCTCACATCTTTCTCCTTATCCCACACTGAAAATTTTGGTTCTCGGTGACACCAACATAATTTAATTCATTATTTGCTTTATTCTATTAGCACCAATGTAATTCATCATTTTCTGTAATCCACACTTTACACACAACAGTTTCAAAATAAAAGTACCAATACTACCACCAAAAATATGATTACTGCTGAAAATGGTTTTTAGTTTGGTTTGTCCTTAGGATCCCAGTAGGGAAATACAGCCAAATTACTCTTACTCTTTTGAAGTCACCTAGAATATACCATATGATTTCACTTATATGTGGAATTTAAAAACCAAAACAAACAAAGCAGAAATGCACTCATAGACACAGAAAACAGACTGTTGGTTGCCGTAGGAAAGGGGGAAATGGGGATGAGTGAAATAGATGAAGGGGAAAAAAAATTAGTGAGAATGTTTGATATCTTGATCCAGGTGATGGCTACATGAGTACATACACAAGCCAAAACTCTTGAGCTGTATACTAATATTTGTGTATTTTGTATGTACCTCAATAAAAAAATAATAATTTAAAAATAAACTAAAATAAAGTCACTTAGAATAATAATTCATCTGCATGATAATATCACAAATTAAACTACATATGTTACATACACATGTATATGTTCATTTCAGTTTTTAGGGATTACTTTTTGGGGATTAATTTGTTTTATAATTATAATATTTACATGATTCTAAATCAAATCTGAAAAACAAGAAATATTCAAGAGTGTTTCTAACATCTCCTGTGCTATCCACCCTAGTAATTGTTTTTTTAATTTTATAATTTCTTACATTAAAAAGTAATATATATATTTTCATGTATCTCCCTTTGTACAGAAAGAACATTATCACACTTTCATTCTCTGCTTTTTTAATTCTTAACAATATATGCTAGTGAATAGTAAAATAATCTTTATTTCTTTTTTTTATATCTTTATTGAGATACAACTCACATACCACATAGTATTCACCCATTTAAAGTACAGTTCAATGGTACATTCACAGAGTTGCACAACCATCACCACAATCAATTTTAGAACATTTTTATCACTCCAGAAAGAAACCCTGACTCCATTAGCAGTCACTTCCCTTGCCACCTCCAAAACCCTAGCCCCAGGCAGCTACCAGAGACCAAACCGTCTTTATAGATTTGCCTGTCATGGACATTCTATATAAATGGAATCATACCATAGGTAGTCCCTTGTGAATAACTTTTTTCACTTAGCATGCTGTTTTCAAGTCCATCCATGTTGTAGCATGTATCAGTACTTCATTCCTTTTTATAACTGAATAATATTCCTTTGTTTGGATATATCACATTTTTTTATACATTCATGAGTTGATGGTATTTGGGTTATTCCTACTTTTTGGCTATTAAGAATAATGCTTCTGTGAACATTCTTGTACAAGATTTTATGTAGAAATATGTTGTCATTTCTCTTAAGTGTGTTCCCAGGAGTAAAATTGCTGATTCATGTGTTAATTCTGTATTTAGCATTTTGAGGAAATGCCAGACTGCTTTCCAAAGCAGCTGTCACATTTTATGGTTCTACCAACAGTTTATGAATGTCCTGATTTCTCTCATCAATATTTATGTCTTGCCAATGAGTTCCAGCCCTGGACAAGTTCACTATGGATTCAGTGAGGCCAAAGAATGACAATGGAATGTTCTTGGGGTAAAAGAGTTTATTATCCAGGTTTGTTCTCCCAGTGATAGGTCAAGCACTAGAATTAATTATGTCTGCATCCAACAATCTGCAGGTCTGTGATCCTCCTTCGTCTCTGCCTCCACCCAGAGCACTGGGCAGAGCTCTTTGTATAGTGACTCAGTCAATAATAGCTTACTGCCTACAGGTATGGAAGCAGTAGCCTAGCAGCAGGCCAATTACATCATAAAGTTGTTTAGGTTCAGGTGAGGATCCTGGCCATAGAAACTTCAATCTTTCCCACACTGCACCCCTCCAGGACTCTCACCTCACACTCTACATATTCTCAGTCTTCCTCAAAGGTCTCTGTGCGAGAAAACTGGAGCATTGTAATCAGATTCCACAACAGCAACAGAGAATAACAACAACATACAGGTAATACCAAAAATTATAATACAACAAAATTTTGATACAGGTAACAAAATTATAATAATCCTTAAGCCTGAGGAGGTTATTCTAGCTATATTCAAAACCAGTTCTACTCAGATGAGTTCATGACTCACACTTAGTAGTGGTACTGATAGGGAGCTCCATGAACCCCAGTGAGTAGCAGTCTTTTGCTAGGATGTGTGCCCAATCCACAAAGACCTTAAGAGCAATAAGACACATGTTTTAATCACACCAACATAGGCAAATCTTGTCCATCAGGTAGGATGCATGCAAGAGAGTGGTCCTGTGATATTACTGTGGCAGGAAGGGGGTCCTGTCCAGGTCTAGTATACCATACCTTCACCCCTCTCTCTGCAGGGGTTACTGAGGGGTCTATGTATAGTGCTACTGGAGGTGTATGCACTGGCCATAATGATCAAACAAAACTCCCCAGTAAGATGCTCCTACCTACTGGCCATTTATTATATACTCCTGTGATCTTTGGGGGCCACTCTACTGTTACTCCAGAAATACCCAGGAGGCCAGCTTCCAGAACTTTTCCCCAAGGTGCCAGGAAAGGCCAGCCATCACTGGTCCATGTGTCAAAATGTCCAAGGCCAT